GTTTAGGGTTTAGGGTTTTGGAGCTGTTCCCGTAAAGGAACCAGTATGAAATGAAAGTGTGTACTTGTCTTTTCCTCCCTGACTACTTCAAAGTGAAGGAGCTCAGCAGGACGCTGAAGAGCACTCTTTACCGCGCACCTCGGGGCCCCAGTAGTACCCGTTTGACCCTTTTACATTTTGGGTTACCGGGTTACCCTTCTTTGAAAGGGGCTACTGGAGAACCTAGGCAAGCTGGCATGGAACGGAGGTGGTGGTCAAGTGCGCAGGTCGTCACGATAACGATGCAGCCGAAGCCGTGCTCAATGCTGGCACTCGTAAGACCGGATCAAGCCCAGAGGAGACGGAAACTACGGAGATTGCGGCTGAGCTGCTCCACGAAATTGACACTCGGTCTCCCAGAGGGCCCTTTTTCAATGTTTTTTGTCCTTAGGATCCTGAAAAACCAGCCAAATTTATTCCTAGGATACTCGGGGTCCAAGGACGTTCTGTCATCCATGAGACATCCCGACATGGTCATGTTCATCGGGGCCTGCTTGGATCCGCAGCTGCCCATCATGTGTGTCACGGAGTTCATGCCTGGTGGTGACCTCGAGACTGGGTTCTACTCTAGGTCCCTTACTAATTTGAATAGGGTTTTGGGTAATTTTATTTATAGACATTATAATATCAGGAACCCTGAAGTAGTATTGGTATTACTTCTTTCGCTGCTGGGTTCTACTAGTTCCAATAAGACCCCATGCCAGAACTGTTTCTGAGTCATACCCTAGGAGAGCTACTATTCCTCACAGAGGAATAAGCACGACTGTGCCGTTTGGAGTCCGCGCCTAAGCACGGTCTTGGAGTGGAGCTCGGCAGTCGTCAGGGCGCTCGTCTTCCTGCATTCACGGAAGATGGTGCACCGGGATCTGAAGCCTATGCCCCCTGGTTTTACCGTTGGAAAGCTTGGCTTTCGAAATGTGTCATATTATCGGTAGCCCTAAAACCGAAAGCCCACCTCCCGTCCCCTCGAAGACAAAACACATGCAATAATCTACACACCAATGGCCGTTCCTAAATCCGAAATGGTGGCCAAGGGACCTGTTGTAGCAATAAAACGAATAATGATAGTAATAACAATAATAGTAATAGTACTAATAATAACAGCAATGATAGAACATAATACTTATAATAAAGCCATAATACTAATATCAACCATACTACTCGCACCATATTAGTAATAGTAGCAATAATGATATCACTCGTAAAGGATCGTGTAGTCACAGCATGTTTATAATACGTTTAACAATGGAAATTATAAAGATAATCGTAAGCTGGGCACTGCAAATGTGAATTTCAATAAGGATTTTTACTAGTAGCTTAAGTGAATATGCCCCAATGGCCCAGGAACCTTGAGCATCATCCTTTCACCAAAAATATGCATAACAATAGCAAGAAGAAGATTAAGTGAATAGACCCCCGATGGCCCAGGGACCCTGAACCCTACTCCCAGGAACCTGCTTCTGAACAAGCACCAGGAGGTCAAGGTCTCAGACTTCGGTATCAGCCGAATGCTCTCGCTCAGCGATGCTTACAGCATGACAGGCCCGACTTGGGTCCATGTAACTGTCAGGGTTCCACCCAGGCCTTTATGTTAGGGCTTCTTAAGGCTTTAGGCTGTGGAGTTCAAGCGACCATGTACCTCAAAAGTATGCATTTTCGCCTTAAAGTAGGCCTTCTATAGGTACTTTAGACCCAGGCCGTCATGGACCCTTAGACAGGCCCGATTTCTGTCAAGCACCAGGCAAGACTAAGCTGGAGTATAGTATACTGGACTCGACAGATAGACTATGTACTTTCCGTATGTAACACATGCATATAGCCACAATGCATAGCAGGACGTAAAAGTGCGACACCTACATTGCGGTACCAGATTCAATGCAAAGTCTTCTTGTAAAGCGACCTGTAAGGGCTTGTATGCATGTTCTTGTACCATCCGAAAAGACTCTTCGGAATCCGTGACTACTTTGCGTTCTATATTCGGGCCCTCTAATTTCCTGACGCTCCAGTGTTGTGACAACCCGCAGAGCCTCCCGGTTTATTTAAGAGCCTCCGGCTCAGGCCGCCGACCCCGTGGGCGACAGTCCAAAAGCCGAATCCCTAAACCACCCCCAAGACCTAAGCTGATTGTCCATGCGCAAGCCTTGAGCGTGAATGCGTGGAAGCACGGAAGCCCATGCGGCGCCCGTG